TTGTCGTCGCGATAGATGTTCTTGCGAGACACTGGGCCAATCTGCGTGGTCCAGTACGTCACAATTTATTTAACACACGTATATAGTATTAGTAGCATGATTACAAACATTGAAATTCTATCTGATTATACTGCCCACCGAGAGGGCGTATGAGGAGTCAATTCTCCTCGGCAGCACGTACTATGTTTTGAAACAGATCGTTGTCATCCTTTACGACTTTTGACATCCTTGCCGGTAAAAATGTTGAAAAAGTATTCTCGATGTCCACCAATAATCTTACTCCATATTTTGTTTGGAACTTTCATAGACTGCTAATCTTGTATTCCCTTTCAACTTCTAACTCCGATAGCTTCTTCGTTGGAAGAAATTCCTCCAAACGACACACTTTGTTGATTTGTGAGAAATCCATTGCGTTCAATTAATGTGGAGTTTCTTCAAATTTATTATGAGATTTTTACAATCTCTTCAATCAACTGTTTAACTTCCGCGATATTCCTTAATAGTAATTGTATTCGAACCTCGAGCTCACGTTGTTTCCTCTTATTTATCATCGATCGGATTGTCACAGTAGACTAATGAAGATACGTTCTGCTCCTCCTTTTATATGAAGCTCTCCTGTGTTCTAAGGGTTAAAATGGGTATGGAAGGTTCCCAAAATTTCTAGGAATCGAATCGCCTACAGAAATTCCTGAAATCAATATCAAGGTCTATTTATCTTACAGACGGAGCGACTTACGTTCTAGAACGTTCGGATGAACCTTAGCCCTCCTCCGACGAAGTTGCGTCGCACGCTTACGTATATTTTACGATTAATTTAACACCTCAGAGGTTGAGGGATTGCATTCTTGACGCGTGACTCTGCGAGGTCCGTTTCGACCTGCACGAAACTGGGGTTTGGGGGATTCGCGAAGCTTCTTCGTGGTATGAGGAGGCTGCGAGATAACGTTCGATGTCAAGTAGGCTACTGTACGAAACCTGCATGGGAGGGCATCGTTTCCTGGAATGAACCTCGTAATTTTGACAGATAACGTTCGAGGTCAAACCGGCTGAGGGCTGCCGTCCGAAACCTGCACGAACTTGCACCGGGATGGGAAGGGTTTATAGAAGCTTCTAAAAGGCCCCCATTGGGTGGGGGGCAAGGGGCTCCATCAAAACGTCACGCGAGAGGACCATTGGCTCTGGGAGCGATCCTTCGCTACTTAGCACGGACACGAACCATCGAAGCTTCTAAAAGGTTCTCGATCGTGTGTGATTCCTAGAATCGAGCGCAAAATTCCTAGAATCCCCCATAAATTCCTAGAAAATAGGGGTCTCGGTGACCTCACTTCCGGAAATCGTAGAGCTCACGACGGCAACTTAGCACGGACACCCACCTTCAAAGGTTCTAAAGTGTCGGTATATGTCGGTTACAGGAATCCTCGTCCAGAACTCCTTAACTTATACTACTACCTTTCTTTAGATATATTTCCAAACTCGACACAACCTGTGGTTTCGAACTAAGATTTGTCGAGGTTCTCAAGTTGTCTTCGAAAAAAAAGACGAGATTCAAGAACATGGAATTCTGTTATTTTAAGAAATTACAACGAGGGAAAGCGTCACGTCAATTCAAAAACTCTTTCATACAAAGATTTGATTGATTTCGGCGAAGATGGAGAACTAACTTCTGATTTAACGGAGAACGCGAATTTCAGTGTAGTGATCATGTTCCATCCGTTGGTTGATAATTAAAATCAGCTGATAGCTGTATTTTCATCCCTCGGTCCTCTTAAGGGAGAAGCCCTTGCAAAACTAATAGTGATAGCAATCGCCTTGCTTGAAAATGTGGGTGCTAAAATACACGAAGTAGCTGACGGGGCGAGTACTAATCGTAGATTTTGGAGTAAGATGGACGTCAGTAGACAGAGAAAGAGTTTACGCAACTTTTTTGAACACGCTACGATCGAAGGACGTTGGGTTTGATGTTGATGTTTTCCAAATTGAGCAAAGACCACATTGTATTGAGAAAATTATCGAAAATGCAGATGCGACTAGCTGTGTAGGTACATCAATTAGTTTTACTTTAGAAGCTCACTTATAAGCAGATATTTATGTTACGTCCGCGTGGAAAATCAGATTCTACGTACGTGGTCTATGACTAACCATCGGAAGACTAAACAGTGGGGTCTGGTTTTTATCACATAGCGATCCTAGGCAGTGGCTACCTAGTATATGGGTTCTAGGTTTATGGACAATGAAGTGAACCTAAAGTGAGATGTTTATAGAATATATTTAGTCTATAGTCTTGACCATTATTAAGGTTATTTTTGTGACACATGTGCGGACATTCCTGACTCTATGACTCTATGACCCTTCCTGGAAAACCCCACTAAAAATTCCTTATTCATTTACAAAGAAGTCATCCCCATCCAATCCTCACCCAGCAATTCTTTCACCCTTATGCGGAGTTCCCCCGCCAAAATTCCCAGCACCAATGAATTAATTTCTTTAACCACTCCATGCTCTTTTTCTTAAAAATTTCTCTAGCTGAACCAATAGTAATAATCCCTAACCCTACTCCAACAATCCACCCCCGCTAACTAACATCCCTAAATTTCTCCAAGACTCACTCTCATTCTCCGCTGGTCCATCAGACAGTTCAGTTAAACAGTTTTACTTTTCTCCGCTTACTAATAAACAGTATAATTGCTCAGTTTCATTTCAGTTTTATTCTAATCCGTAGATTTATTTTGTACTAGTTGAAATTGTTTTTCGCTTGTTCATAAAATAGTACTGTTGTAGAGCTTGTTTGTCAGTGCATCATTTTTATAATAAATTTTACTCATTTGTTCATCTAATTTCATTCTTATATAATATCTATTGTCTAAAAGCAACCTCTTCTACACCGCAAACACCTTCAACATCGTAAGCATCAGAATCAAAGTAAGCTCAATCAAGTTATTATATTTGGTGAAGGTACTCTTTAATTTTGCTGAATCATCGTAAATGTTAGAATTTCCTAAGTTCAATTGTTTACTCGGTGACGGTTTTCATTTGTTTTAGAATCTTTCAAATCAATCCTATTATATATCCAGTTCGATTTATCCTTTCGTTGGTAATTAGAGGCATAGTCCAATCCCGAGTAAAATGCGCAAGCGTTGACTCAAAACAGGGCAAATTGACAGTATATTACGGTTCGGTAAAGGCACCAGTCGAAGCCTCCATTCTGGTTCGGACGTAACATTTATTTACTGTAATACTGACTTGACAATTACGCTATATGCTTTCAGCAACGCAGTCGCGAGAGGGCTCCGATTCTTTAAAGAATACGTTCCGGAATTGAAAAATTTCGAGGATACTGCATCTTTTTGTCAATGGATTAATCAAAGATTTCATATGCTCAACCGCAAACACTCGAAGTACGGGATGCACCTGGGCGACGCTGATTTCGATGTAATGTCTAGAACTAAAACATTTACTAGACGTTATTGTTTTATAATAATTTATTAATAGACGGACATATTGTCGAAAACTTGAGGGTAACTTTACAGTCAACGCTTAACATCGTGACTTACCTCGCCGAATATTGTGATTTTTCGTACGTTTTGACTAGTCGAATCAATCAGGATCCACTCGAAAGTAGATCGGTTTCATAAAATGTTATGTAAATATAAGCAAAAAAAATTGTGATTTGCGCCATTCTTTACCACGGCTATATACGCCACAATGCTGGCTTCATTTTGCTTGCTTCTATGCATACTGCTTCTGAAATTGTATGCTAAAAACTAACAGCTTTATTTACCGCCGCTTTGAAGGCAAAAAAAAATCACATGAAATGCAAACTAACACCAGATCATGAATTTTCGAATTCTTCGTTATTTACAGGTTTTTTGTCAAATCATTGCACGCATGATAAGTTACGGTAGCTTAACTTTAAAGTAAACTTTAACTTTAAAGTTTAACTTATAAGTTCAAGCAATTACATGTTTTTGTCTCTTTTATATCCCCTTTCCTCCAAATCCATAAGATTCTCTCGACGTTTAACATCCCCAAACCTCCGGAAATTGGGAATTGCTCTATTTTCGATGAACAACTGATGGAGGGGGGGGGGGGCAACTGGCGCATAGACCAATTGAACACAAATAACTTTTTACTGCAAATTCTGTCCAGTTTTAAAAAGATGGAATATACTTAGGTACGAACGATCCCTGCTTAAAAAATACGATAGAATTCGATAAGAAACGATAAAACTAATTGCCGATTTCAATCGTTTACTATCAGTCCTATCTACATCAAGTTGAAGTGATGATAGAGTTTCTATCTAATGTAATCTGAACCTATCAGGTTGTTGCTTTATCGTAATAATACGATAGAAATTTAATCTATACCTATATGTATTTTCATATAAGCAGTACGTCTATCTATGGTAATATGAAATTCACGTTCTATTACGTATATGATGCTATATGATTCTATATGAATCATATTTTTATATGTATTAATATGAAAATGTTTGATAGGAATCGAATTGTTTTCTATCGTCACCAACTTATTAGGGAAGAATATGAAATAAACGATAACCTTCTTATATGGCTTAATAACAAATGGTTTTCCCAAAAATTATCATGAATTTAAGGATGCATTGCACGTACATTTCCCACCAAGAATCTGATTTGATTCGAATTTGAGTGCCTTGACACGAGAATAAAAACTGAAAAAAATCGAAGTCTTGGAAGATAGGAAGAATGTTTATTTTTAATAATAATGCCAAACAGTTACTAATAAATGAATTAAAAAAATTATTTTACATATTTGATAGAAAACTCATATGAAATGAAGTCTCTAATTTTTCCGATAAAAAAAGTATTCTTAATATCTCCAAGACGCTGATTTTTGTCAAATTTTTCCCTTATCGCAAGATACTCAACGAAATCAATCTTTTGGTTGAGAATTTACGTACAATGCATTCTTAATACAGTTAACTAGCGATCAATTTGTCGTGTCATGCATAAAGATGTCGAGTAATGATCCAAGATTCTAGCTGCATCAGGGGGTTGCAGTGGTGGCCTGAAGCCGCCCAACGTGGGATAGAGTGCGGATGTGATTCCCACCCCCAGAAAAGACACTGCAATCGCCCAGAAGAGGAGAAGATGCTCGGATCTATTTTTTTCTAGGATCGAAGAAACAATTGAAGATCGCGGGCGAATTGGGCTACGATTCTTTGTATTATTATTAGACGTGTTGCGTATCATTATTCCTTGTTATCTGAATTGTAAGGGACTGTTGGTCCCTACTTAATTAATTATCTTACATTATTTTATTCCGGACCGAACTGTTGATCGATTTTATTATTATTCACGTGTTCTATGTTGTTGAGGAACCGTTGTTCCCTTACGCGTGTATTTCCCGGAACCATTGTTCCATCCATAATATTCTTCGCCAAGTACTCAAGATACGAGACCCGAGACCACACGTGATAGCGCACGAAAATTCAATTTACTCTTCAAGCTCGCAGCTAGTTGCATCCACCCAAACGCTTCAGGCATGAACAAACACGTGTAAAAAATTAAACCAAGTACAGGAGTGCTTAGAATTCCTTTAACAAAAAGTATTGAAATCATATTATTAATGCCAAGTACATAAGTCAGTACATAACTGCCTAATATCAGATTATTGAGGCCAAGTACATAAGTCGCTACATGTTTGCCTATTATATGATCTAGCACTGGCCCAT